CTGACGTCAGATTTCTTTAAAAAACAAACAAAACAACATATTTCTTATTTTCTTCCATTTCCTTCAACACATAAAAAAATACTTTTAATAGATATTTATAAAAAGAATAGGAAGTATTTGACTTTCTATATATTTTATAATAAAAAAACCCATTTATTTAAAAAAAAAAATCTCTTTTCAAAATACATGTTATAGTCAATCTGACAGCAAAAATGGGCAGAGCCAATTAATATGGGCACTGCTGTATACAGCACCTTTGCTTACAATTCATTTTCATTAGTAAGCCTGATAGTCATCCTTTTCTATTCACTGAAGTTAATGGGACTTTTAACATGCTTTAAAAATGTATATGCTTTGCTTCCTTGGGAGTCTGGTATCACTTTTCAGAATGTTGAGCTTAACCCAGTTTCATGAAGACACACACACACACACACACACACACACACACACACACAAAAGAAAAGTCATTTTTGCAAGAAAAGGGTATACCACTGTGGCTAACTTTTTGGTGTAATCAATTTATCTTTAATATCTTTAACTCTCATTAGCGTTTAGATTTTAGGTATAAATGTGAAAACTGTTGAGCAAGAAATAAATAAACCATTTGCCTGCAATTCCTATATGCCATTTCACATTACTGAAAATCAGCAGTTAGTTCTGTCTCTTTTTGCAAGCATCTCACATTACAACAGAGTTTCTGTTTATTCTTAGAAAGTCAAGCATTTGAGCCCCAAAAATATACATTTTTAAGTGGTAAGTAAATCTAGTTCATTCAAAGGGTAATAAGTGTTTGGGCCCCCTTACATTTTGCTTTGTTCATATACTTTGTCACTGAAGTTGTAATGTCATGAAACTCTAATTAGAGTTCTTCATACAATAAATAGTTTTTAAAATCAAAATACAAATGGAGATGTTTTCCTGTAGAAAATTAGGTAAGACTGAGCCAACTCCATAACAGGATGGAAATTCAGAATCAAGGCCAATATTACATCCTAACCCTGTACATTTTACATACATTACAAGTGTTAGGGCCAGATTCTAGCACCACTTTTTATATGGGGTAAAATCAGTACAAGAGCAACGGGCTGGCCTGATTTACCGTATTTACTCAAATATAAGGCTCTGAGTAGAAGACAATTCCATTAATTAGATAGATCTTACATGGAAAATTTATAAATTATAAAATGGATGGTGGTCTACTGGCTGACATCATCTGAACAAGACCTGGGGGTCACGAATCGACTGGAAGGTGAATATGACCCAACAGTGTAACGAGGCTACAAAAAGGGCCAATAAAACTCTGGCATGCATCAGCCGCTGTACTCCTCCCTCTCTGTTCAGTGCTGGTGATGCCTCAGCTGGAGTGCTGTGCCCAGTTCTTGGCCCTGCACTTCAAGAAGGACATGGATAAACTTGAGAGTGTACAAAGAAGGGCCACCCATTTGATTATGGGCATGGAGGGTAAGCCCTACAATAAGAGATTCTGGAAAGTGGGCCTGTTCAGCCTGAGGAAGAGAAGGTTGAGAGGTGACTTGACAGCTGCCTACAAGTACCTCAGGGGGAGCATCAAGAACTAGGAGAGCAACTATTCAGGACAGCATCTCAAGGGAGGATGAGGACCAATGGGCATAAACTAACAGAGGGTAAATTCAGGTTGGATACAAGGAAAAACTTCTCTGCAAGGGTCACCAGAATTTGGAACACGCTCCTAGCAGAAGTGGTGCAGTCGCCCTCCTTGGAGGTGTTCAAGACGAGGCTGAACAGGCACCTTGCTGAACTCATCTGAGCCCAATACTTCCTGCCCAGGGCAGGGGACTGGACTTGGTAATTGTACAATTGACTTGGACGAGGGGGTGGAAAGCATGCTGTCCAAGTTTTCTGATGACACTAAGATGTGGGGCGAGGTGGACATACTTGAAGGGAGAGAGAGGCTGCAAATAGATTTAGACAGACTACAAAAGTGGGCAGATGAGAATAGGATGGGGTTCAACGTAGATAAATGCACCAATGCCAGACCGCAGCCAGCAAGGCCAGCCGTACCTTGTCATGCGTCCAAAAGGTGCATTTCAAGCCGGTCCAGAGAGGTGATACTCCCCCTCTGTGAGACTTTGGTCAGGCCGCAGTTGGAGTACTGTGTCCAGTACTGGGCACCGCACTTCAAAAGGGATGTGGTCAGCCTGGAGAGGGTTCAGAGGAGGGCCACCCGCTTGGTGAGAGGGCAGCAGGAGAGGCCCTACGAGGAGAGACTGAGGGGCCTGTACCTGTTCAGCCTCAGCAAGAGGAGGCTGAGGGGAGGCCTGGTGGCTGGCTACAAACTCATCAGGGGAGATCAACAGCAAATAGATAGAGCCCTTTTCTCCCCAGCACTACCTGGGGTGACAAGGAACAATGGTAATAAGCTGATGGAGAATAGTTTTAGGTTAGAGATCAGAAGGCAATATTTTACAGTTAGGGTGACCAAAATCTGGAACCAACTTCCCAGGGAAGTGTTCCTCACCCCTACCTTGGGCAAATTCAAGAGGAGATTGGACGATCACCTGTCTCGGGTCTTGTGAACCCAGCATTCATTCCTGCCTGTGGCAGGGGGGCAGGCTAGATGATTTGTTCAGGCCCCTCTTGACACTAGCTACTATGAAACAGGTCCCTTCCGGTTCTATGATTCTATAATTTTCCAGGTATAGAATCTAGTTTTTGGAGATTTACCTTAAATTTGTCCCCTTCCCACTGCTACAGAAAGGAAACTAAATCTGAGAGGTCAGTTAGCCTCCTTGCCCTGCGCAACTTCTTCCCCCACCCCTTCCTGTCAGATCTTGCTCTCCCTGAGCACCTGGAAATGAGGGAAAAATGTAAACACACTGACTTAGAAGTAAACATGCCTGTATTAATTTAGCTCATTTGGAACTGATGCACTTTACCTTTTTTAAAAGACCTGCACGTTTTAGCACAGGTACTCCATAAATGTTTAAGCAATACTTTTGTACCTATTTATACAGAGTACAAACTATGCATGATATTAGGCCAAAACCAAAAAGCTCATGATTTATCACATAGTTTACTGGGCTATGCCCCACCAAAGTTAACAGTATTTAAAGCCATGGTGACCCCACAGATCAACACTGCTCAGTACATGCATATAAGGATCCAGGGGTGTAGGTTGTAGCTGTATTGGTCTAAGGACATAGGCAGACAAGGTTCTTTGGGTGAATCTAATATCTTTTATTAGACCAACTTAAATAGTTGGAAAATTTTTTTAGCAAGCTTTTGGGTTTAAAAACCCTTCATCAGGCTGAAGATGTCTCTGCAGTTGGTATATGCTCTTTCTGGATAGAATGAATAGAAAAGAAGCCAGAGGCTGGTCTGCATGCAAGAAAGCCAGTCATCGAAGATGTAAATCGAGGAGTCAGTGGGTGAGAGACAGGCTGAGTGTGGGGCAGAAGGGGTGTGAATGTAGCACTTAACCAGTGGAAAGGTACCACTCCTCTCCACTATTTAACTGGATCTAGGTGCACATCAGCTCTCACTCATGACTTGAACCAGGTGTTCTTGTCACACGTCCTGAGATCTTCTAAAAAAATTATATGCAGATGAGGTGCAGGGCAACTTGGTTCAACTCCACCTCATGAAGGGCAGGGCCACACTAACCATGTGACAGGCTGAGAGGGGGTGGCAGAGGGATTCAGGGTGAACTGTTTGGGGCCCCATTTGGTGATTTTTACCAAACATTTAAGACTGGTTAAGAAACAGGAATCAGTGGAAATGGAAAAGAAAGGCACAGATCAGTTGTGGGAATGAAGAGGAAGTTGAAATGTACTCATTGTAGTGGCTCACCATGACTTTAAAAAACTTGGCACTGAGAGGGACTACACAGAATGGGTACTACCCTGTATCTTATTCAGAGGGGTTGCACTAACTTATCTTTCTGGTAGGTTTTCATTAGCATGTTAAAAAAAATTGTCCAATATAGGCTATGTGTTTTAGTCATGCTTAGTGTTGGCTGTATTTAAATCAACTTCATATTTGATTTTTATTACTTAGCACACTGCTTTTGACAGCAGCTTAATGACAGTGTATTTAATGAGCTTTTTCCCCCCATGCTGATTGAAGGTGGAGGTAGGGAGAAGACCTTGTCTTATATTTGAGTAAATACTGTAGTAGTCTCCAAGTCCTATTTGGATTCCAAGGGAGGGTTGTATTGTAACTCTGTGCCAGCAAATAATCATCTTCTTGGTTGTGATTTTTATGACCCTGCCACCTGAAGGCACTGATCTTAAACAGTCCCAATTAATCCCCAGACCTAATTTCCTTGCTTTTACAAACTGAATTAAGGCCTTAAAATATTTATTTATTTATTTATTTAATATTGTTGGATTCAATCTAACAAATTATTGTTTTTGTTTTATAAAGGAACATTTAAAGAAGAAATGTTTTATAATTGCAGCACACTTTAAATGGCATTGTTTTTAAAAAAGAAAACAGTGTGATGTACGATCCATCCTCTGTGGTACAATTACTTTCTATCACACTGCAACAATATTGACTATAACTTGTATATCTGAAATTATTTTAAAAGTTAGAAGCATTTTAAGCATTAAATTATACGAAAAGAGCTTTTATTATATTCTTTATTATTAACTAGGAAAATGCTAGTTTTACAAATATACCTGTATTCATGTGCTCTCCCTTCACCATGAGCTGGCCATCTATATTACATGCATAAGACCTAAATCACAGTTTTAGTCTATTTAGTGTAACTTTGTAAGTTATGGTGTACCTTCTTTCTATTAATGTATGCTGTAACTTCTAACCCTACAGATACATTCTGTTCTATTTACATATTTTAAAATGTGTCATGGCTTGCTTTTAAAATTCTTAGGAAACGATTAGAATTCTTAGAAAATAATACTTTTATACTATCTACCTCAATCTTGTTAAGAAAAACAGAAACATTTAAGTCATTATACTGGAAAATATGAGCAACTTCTACTGCATATTTTTCTCACCTTTTCTGTCTGGCTTGAGATTCCGATCCACTGGTGGTGGTTCACATTCTGCAACAGGTACTGACCTTCTGGGAGGCGTCTTTGGACTGGACCTGAAACCCATGTGAGCAGGAGGAGGCACTTGCATTCCAAATAATGAAAAATCAAATGTGCCTGGGGTCATTGGTACATAGTTTGTTTCTTGAATGGGTTCAGTGAAGCTGCTGGAATGCTGCCGTGGTGGAGAGTTGGGATTCATTGGGACATAATTTTCATCCAGTTCTTCACTTGAAACACTTCCCACTGTCAACATGCTTCTGTTCTTCTAGAAATAACATACATTTCCTTTCATAAAGTAATCATTTATGTTATCTGCTGTAAATTAATTAATCTTTTAGCATCATATATGTGTAATTTATTTTAAGATACATCACTCCACATCATTGCTTTGTAAAAGGGAACAAAGACTGTGCAAGTGCTTTCCCATTCCCTAGTCCCACATGAGATCAAATCATACTTACAAAGTGATTGTGGAAACCTTCCAATGAGCTAGATCTGTCATTTGGAAATGTTCGTGGAATATCATAGCAGTCTTGAGAACTAATGTCTAAAGAAGTAGAAGGAGACAAAGTAAACATTTATTTCCTCAGCTCAGCTGCTGTTACATAAATGTGCTGCACCAAATATTTACTATCTGTTATTTTAAATCTATAATCAAATGCAGTTGGGAAGATGCACACGCTCTACATGACAGTATAGTCTAAAAGATTTTATCAATATACATTTGGGATGAATGCTTTATTTTTTGAGCAGACAAGGTTCTTTGGATAAATGTGATATCTTTTATTAGACCAACTAAATAGATAGAAAAAGTGTTCTTTGCAAGCTTTCAGGTACAAACACTTCTTTGTATTACAAGTCATGATTTTACGATTTGCCATTGGCATTTTCTAGGGTGAGAAACTGAAGGAATGTTGATGCTGCTAGTTTACTGTGCAAGACAGCAGTGCCCTTAAAAACACTGCTGCTCCACACAACTGCCTTCTAACTGGAAGTAACATGGAATCATTTGAGTTGCACTGCAAACAGCCTAGTTAGAGCATTCCCTGAGCCTGGCATAGTATATTTGCAGTATAAATATACCCAAAGTAGTGTACCGTATTGAACACTTGAAAATTTCCATATCGCATAAAACACCCATGTCTGTAAAGAGTGGATTTTAAGACACTGGGCCTTAAACTTTAATTCTACTCCAGAAAGTGACTTAAGAATAGAATTGCCTAGTAGAGTTAGTCAGAAGTTTTCTGACAGAACAGTTTTCTATTGACACCCTAATCTAGTGGACTGCCCGAAAACCAGGGTTCCTAGGACTTCCAGGCTCACTTTTCATTCTGCTCACCTGGTGCTCTTTGGACTGTCCAGCTGGTAGGGTCCTGACTGTCTTGATGACCCTCATCAAGCCAGTCAGACAGCCACAGAGCTAGCCTAGAAAACATTTAAAAATTTTTCCATTTCCTTTTTTCAGAGCTGCCTGTTTTGAAAAATTCTATTCCATGGGAAAAGCTGTATTTTTGCGTTTATGGATCTTTAATTAATCTAAGCCCAGAAGAAAAAAAAATACCGGCAAAAAAACTAAAAGTAAAAACTTTGCCTTAGGTAAAAACAGGTTCTTGTATGTAGTGTGTACAAATGCAGAAACATCCAGGAACACAAAAAGGCTTGCTGGAGAAATATACCAAAAAGTTCAGGAATACATAACTATTACAATAATTAAAAAGAATATTTCCACTTTTATGCTGCAATCCATATACACTTGATCAGAATGCACTGCACAGTACCAGAGAGAAGATCCAAGTTTATCTAGCAACACCTGGCCTAGCACAGCTACCATAGAAATCACAGGACTCTTGAATTCAGCATGACTGGGCCACTTATACTGGTGGTTCTAAAAGACTGGCACTGGAACTCTTGAACTCTTCTAATAAGCTTAACGGCAGCAAAAAGAATTATCCACAAAACAAAGACAAATCCAATATTTGAAGTTGTATCAATCTGTATCACTCAATTTTACATTGCACATAGCCATACCTTCAAATGCCCTACCTTTTGCTGCACTAAGGCCATGTACAGGTATTACAGTTCTACTGGGAGAAATCGCCACTACCCCAGTAGAAACTAGGAGCATACAAATGTTTGTTCAGTTTCTCCTGAAGGAAACATGCCCTCTCTAGAAGAAAGATCCTCCAGGTTGACACAAGTTTCTCTCGCTAAAATGAACACCTGTACACTTCGGCTCAACTCCTCTGTGATCAGGAAGAGACAAGCAGCAGCTCTAGCAGCCCCCCTGTACCTTCCCCAGACCAGGGTGACTTTGGTCTGGAGGGGTGGTATTTCCCCACAGCTCAACTCCTCCCAGTCATGGAGGACTTGAGCTGCCATTACCCCTTGATCCTTCCCAAGACTGGAGACACCCTGATTTGGAAAAGGCACTGGTGTGGGGTGGGGAGCATCGCCCCACTGCGCCCTCTCCTCCCATGCACTACCTGCTATTCCCCACGCATTCCCCAGACTCACGTCCCCATTCTGGGGAATGGGCAGGGAGCATTGCCCTGCTGCTCCCTCTTCTGTGCTCTCAGACACCGAAAGCAGAGCAGAGAAGCACCCTCTTCACGTATCAGGGAATGTCTCTAGTCTGAACATTGCCCTGGCTGCTTCCTTTCCTCCCTCCATGCTTCCCCAGACCAGCACAGTCCCAGTTTGGGGAAAGTACAGGGAGTCTTTTGCTGTCACTGCTCCAGTCTGGAAGGTACAGGGAGCAAGGGAGTGGGAATTTCTGAGAAAATTCTACTGCTATGAAAAAACACCCTAAATGATCTGTGATGTCCTTTCTGACACCACAATTTGATTCTATTTGATGACTAGATTCTAGTCACCACCCCTGAAAGAACATCATCCCAATATGCCCTGTATATAGAAGGACTATGTGGGAGGACTCACATGAGGCTGACTCCTCTAAACTGAATGCTACCCAAGTCTTTCCCTGTCAGAGGGATTTTGTAGATAGCACTTCGAGACAGCTTTCTAGCTGTATACTGACAAAGCATTCAATGATTCAGCCCACAAGCTTTTTATTCACTAGTCAGAGGCTGTAACTCCTCCTGCTGTTAGACCATTACTCATATTTTTCTATCAATCAATCTTGTAAACATTCTGAAAAGTCAAGCTGAAATATTTTTCCTTCTTGTGTAAGAGAGCGTGCAAGAGAAATTATATTGAAACTATACTCGTGCAAATAGTGTCTGCCTTGAGTTATAGCTGCCGCATTCTACAAATGACTTGGCCAACTGGATCTTTATTACTGGTGATGATGCATAAAGAAAAATTGACAAGCTGGAAGGACTTTCAGAAACTAAAGTAACTTTAACAAGTAGAGAAAAAAAGCACGTGAGTTGAGTACATTTGACGTGGTACCACTGAAACTCAAATAAACATGGAGCATGTTATTTTTTCCAGAAACATTCTGAAACTGACTTTACACTTGTCAGTGGTGCAGAACAGAGTATTGCTAGTGCTGACCATAGGGACCACTGGACAGGTATGGAGATCTTTGCCTGCAAGGGGAAGAGGATAAACTTTCTTCAGTGGTTTGGCCTGAAAACTGTTGGAAGCTGCTACCTGTTGGTATGGAACATGGATGGATTGACAGGGGAGGTGGTGCAATGGAAATTCTATGAAAAAATGCAAGTTTTCATGGGGTTCTCACTACCACATGAGGGGGCATGAAACGAGACTGAACCATAACATATAAAATGCAAAGAAATACTAATAACTCATATCAGAACATAATTTGATTGACTATACACAAAAGCTGTCCTAGACAATTTTAACAAATTCCTGACACACGGTCAGGCCAGCAAAAGCTAACAGAACAGCCATGTTGTAGAAGCAGTTTCTCTACAACACATTAAAAAAAAAAAGTGTTACTAGTCATTTAAAATGAACAACATTTATACAGCCTTCCTTTTATACCATCACCTTTTATACTCTTTGTTGTGGTTGAGAATTTCAAAGAATGAAGGGAATTAAGCCTCTTATTCTCAGCAGAAAGTGGAAGCACAACTCCTTTCAATTCCTTTGAAAATCCAAGCCTTCACCACTTATTGCACATGATAATTTAAACAAAAGAGTTCTTTAAAAGCAGGCTGAGACATAAATACTAACCTTTTCGAAATATATTCAAATCTACAGTGGAAACGGTATTACTGCGTGAAGGTGGCATTCCCATTGTAGGAATGCAATAACTACTGTCAGTGTCTGACGCAGTACGAGTAATGCTACAGGTTTCCACAGGAGATCGATCTGAAGAGTGATGAGGTTTTGGAGGCCGAGGTGGAGGAATATCTGGAATAATCTCTAGCTTTGAAGTCTGAGCCAATGTTCCTTCTGGAAAAGTTCGTGGAATCTGATATGTACCTCCAGGTGTCGGGGGAATGTCATAACTAATGGAGATATGTCTCATCTGCGCATCTAATGATGTTGCTGATGGGGCACTGAAAATGTGCTGCTCTCCTTCTGCGTCAGTCCCGGATGGAGATGCTGCCTTTGGTAAAACATCCTGTGAGTAACTCCTAGGCAGATTATAAAGGCTGCAGTCTACAGACACCATTGTAGATCGAGGTGGTGGAGAGTCATAGACACTTTGTTGCTGAAAAAAACCATTCACGGCATGCTTGCTTACCGATGGAGCAGGATTTTTATGAGAGGGTACATTATCATTGCAGTCTGTTTCAGAAGAGGTGGATTTTGCTGAGTCAGCATGAGATCTACACATAAAATAATAAAATTGGCATAGGGATTTTTATGTATGGTTATAAGACAAACGTTAACAATTAAGGAACAACATAACATTCAAATGTAAGCAACTAAAAGTCATTTAATCCATTAATTCTGAGAGAAAATCAAGGAACTTTGTTACTAAACAAAAGATCTTAAAAAAAATCTCAAGTACGGTCTCAACTACATGCGCTGGTGTGTGTGTTACACACACCAGCACTGGTGTGTGTATATTTATCACAAGAGCTCAGCAACATGGGGTTTTCATAAGCAAGTCACTTCTAACAAGACACAATACCAGTTTGGATCTCCTCTTTGTTTGTATTTTAAACCACATATCACACTATAAGTGTACTCTGTTAAGCAGGGGTTTAGGTTGTAGCCGTGTTGGTCTAAGGATATAGGCAGACAAGGTTCCTTGGGTGAATTAGATATCTTTTATTAGACCAACTCAAATGGTTGGAGAATAGTTATTAAGCAAGCTTTTGGGTTCAAAAACCCTTCGTCAGGCTAAGGAAGCTGCAGCAGTTGAAACACTGTGGTGCAAATACGGACCTATACCTGGGTTTATGGTACTTGCTTCCCCTCATGAATATGGTAGAAATAAAATTTTAAAATAAAACTTTTTGGAACTTGCAGTATTGGAGGTGCATGCCTAAAGATATACACTGGGTGTGTGTACACATTCATTATGTGATTTAACTAATGTGCATTAAATCTAGTACATCCATTGTGAGTTACTACAAAAATGCACGTTAGCCTATTTTAATGTGCATTAGCTAAAGAGCATGTTTTTGCAACACTTTAATGCACATTAATATAGGCTAATATGCATTCAAGCACATGTGTAGATGCACCCACTGTCAACAAACACAGGCCTTAAAAGAAAAGGATACAAGAGACAAACAACACATAAATAAAAGCAGAAACTGAAAGCAGAAATATTCAACTAATTATTGTGGAGAAAAAATTTACAGAACATGTGGAACAAACTCTAATTTTTGTCTTGATCCAGACTACTTTACAAGTACACAGTAGGTTCCACATGGCTGCTCTGGAAATTATGTCTCTGGTGAAAGGAACAATCAATCAATTGTTACCAACAATACACATAAGAAGAAGAGTACAGCCATGGCATTCTCTCGCTTGGCAAAGAAATTTTCTTGATAATATGACTATTTTAACACAAATCAAAATGACTGAAAATAGCAATAGATAAATTAAACGGATAGCATTAAAACCTTACCATGGCATCCACACACTGGTATCAATCATCCCATGGTATTCCTACTTTAAGTATCACATGAATGTACCATTGCACAGAAGGTACACGCTACACTGTTACAGTTATACATCTATCTTTTTCTTTCTTCAAAAGAACTATAAAAAAATCACATAAACTTACACACAATCAAACTTTAATCAGGCCCCATTCAGTCCTGACTTTTGTACTTGCTATTTTTATTGCATGCACAAAAATACTGCAAATTAGAACTTATTTTAGCATTGTTAGTGCATTTAACCCTTTAGATGCTTCCATTGGTTATTTGATTATTTTGTAAGGGTAATAGCAAGCAGGATTTTGTAAAGGACAATAACAATTCAACATCTTTATCTGTAGTTATCTACTTATATTTTGGAAAAGGCGTTTTTTCCTAAAATTGAACCTGAGAACGTAAAGCCAATTTATATGCAGGATCAACTTATAACTGGAATGATGCAGTAATTTCAGCATGTATATATGTCGCTCCAAACAATACTTCTATTGCCCTTATTATTCCATTATGTAACAGATTAAGGGCAGTTTATGATACTGTTGGAATAAGTATTCCCTAAAGATAAAACAATATTTAAAAAAGGCAATGGTTCTTAGAGGTTGTTACACCCTTGCTAATATGCATCCTGAGTCTAAACAGCTTACTCAAACCGCGTGCCAAATGAAAGCAATAAATGTAAAGATGAGTAAGAATGACAAGAAACTGTCCCTTAATTACATATGCTACACCAGTGAGAGAAAAAGGTATCAATCTGATACTTTTCTACATTGTACAGACAGCATTCCACCCACACAAATAAAGGTAATGTTAATTGTGCCTAATGACCTTAAGAGATCTCTCTCTCTCTCTCTCTCTCTCTCACTTTAAAAAAGAAATACAAACGGAGTAACAAACCTCGGATCACAGCCGGAACACAAAATAAAGTGCACATAGTGAGAAATGAAGCACTTTTTTCACTTTTCCATATAGTTATGGCAAACACCATCATTTACCTATTTCCCAAAACCTACCTCCCTGGTCTTTGAAATTAGATTCCTTTAAAAGAATGAGACGCCTTCAAAATCTTATGTACCAGCTCTGAGCACTTAATGACCTTTTAACAAGGGCTTCTGAGGGCTCAGAAAAAGTCAAATTTTGTTGAGATGTGCCACATGCAGTTAAACCATAAGTGAAATTAGAAGTTTAATGAGAGCATATGAATCCCACTCAACAGAATACTAATAATTCTAATCCAGATAACTCAATGAATTGGCAAGATATTCTTCCTCACTGTTTCTTGGCCATATGAATTTGTGAAAACTGAAATGAAATCAAGTCAGCTTTGGACTACCTTGAGGCAGCCTCACCAGTCATTCTTTTAGCTCAGTGGCTCCAACATCTGATCCTTAATCCTGATGGTGTTGGAACAAAGAAGAGATTTAACACTATTATTTTTCTATGCTGACCCCAAAAGCAGGATGTCTGAGAGTGGTGACTTTCCAGTAGGTAACTACTTTGCAGAATTTGTTATAATTTTCAAATGCATGATTAAAGCAAACCATGGAAATGGAAACTGTTTTTTGTCTCCGACAGTGTATCAGAGCATCACTGTTCATGTTTAGTAGTATACACCTCTAAAGGCAAAGTTAGTATAACAACAACAGGAAAACAATTAGCACATCATAAACTGGAGTACAACTGTGACACCAATCTTTTGGTGTCATGGTCCTATCACACATGCGCCTTAAATTGCTTTATTAACAGTTTCAAGTCCTGGTAAACCTAATCCTTACCCATGCTTAGAGACCCTCTAATATCATGGATATAAATGGTGCTACATCAATCTAGCTGCACAGGGGACAGGGAAATTGGTTCCAGCTCTTCAGATGGCTCATGCACATCCCTGAAAAGCCTCTGAACTACCACATAGATTTGCCACTAAGCTGGCTTATCCTCTATCTCTTGAAAACTAGTTCGTGGCAGAGGACGAGAAGCAAATCAAAATCAAGATAAAAAAATATTCCATCTCAAAGCTGAAAACTTTGAATTATCCATTTCAATAGTACAATCCATTATTGTACTATATCGTTGTATACCTTACTTTTCCTCTGCAACAAGCCCTACAGGAGGGCAGGACTTGCTAAGTCAGGTGTAGTGCTGGGGCCACACCGCTTCCAGTGCAGAGCTTGCTCTAGATATCTGCATGGTGCTACCTCATGCTACTCAGACATGCACAAAGATGCATACGCATAGATGAGAGATGGCAGCAGCACACTTCTTATGTACCAGCACTCAGGGATGGTAAAAAGGTGGTGTTGGGAGTAAGTGTGGTAAAAATAAGACAAGGATCATGACAGGTGTTATCACAATCTTATCTTGGTGATAGTTATTTCCAAACAACTGAAGTTGGGTTTACATTGTTTCTTCTATAGAAAACTCGAAGTTGATCATGCAGGACACATTTGAAAAACACGAAAATCCAGCATTTTCAAGCAGGTTATGCCCAGTGATTAATTTCTCACAAAAATTCAAAAACAACTATTATACACTCACTGCAATGGAATCTTTTTACTTTCAAAATCTTCCAGTAGTAGGTATTCTTGCCCTTCTTCAGAGATAAAAGATGACCCTTGGCTGATTTATGAACACAGGAAAAATGAAGCAAGGTCAGGCAAGATTCCTTGTATGTACCACTGTCAACCAACCAGAAATGTAAACTTTGCAAAGATTTCACATACAATGTTTCTTATAAAAGCAAAGATCAACTCTCAGTCTTATTAAATGCTACAGTCAAACTCAATGATGGTTTACTAAGAGATGACTATTAATGTTTAAGTTCAGAAATTATCAGATCATAAAATGTCTTAGAAAAAAGTGTGATGATTAATACAGTCATTACTTTCTTATTATGAAATAGAATGCAGTGACTGAAGTAATGTTTTATAAAGAAACATGTTAGGAAAAGAAAAGAAGACATCTTCTGCTCTGATTTTGTTAGGACACGAGTTACTCCTGAATGATGGGGTTCAAAAGCAAATAAATTCAAGTAAAAAAAATGAAAACTTAAAAAATTTTTATTATACCAATTTTATAAAAAAATTCCTCTTGTGCAAGGGTGCTCAACCTCTGGCCTGCAAGCTCCCCTCCTCCCTCTGCATGGCCAGATGGGGCTCCGCTGGATTTTGGCCCGCAGAGGGATCCAGCACTGTCCATCCAGCCCACCGGCCAAAAAGGTTGAGCACCACTGCTCTAGTGTTATGATGTCTGTCTATTGTAGTATAATAGCTGGCATGTTGTTGTATTTTGGGGGTTTTACTCTAAAAACATTAAAGCTGAAAGTGTGGATCAATACAACCCACCAATCAGCCAGAGTGGATGTACGCATGTTACTCTACTTAAAAAAAAATTGTAAAAACAATCTGCTAAAATATGAACCCTCTCAATTTTCCCCACCCCCTAATTATTATTATGACCTCTTATAATGTGCATCAATTATAAGAACACATTTCAAAACACTGTGAAGTTCTAGTTTCTTTTTAAAGAGGTTATATCCCATGTACTCTAGTCCAACTTCAGCGAGATGATTATGCTTAATGTTGAACACATGCTTAAGTAACTTCCTGAACTGGAACCAAAATATGAAAATCATTACCTTGTTTGCAACAACATTATTTGATAAAAGTTGCACAGAGATAGTGGCTAAACAGTAAAGGGCCACACCATAACATGTCACCTCACAAGGTCTTCAAATACTCACATCACTTAACCCACCATTGATTTAACACATCCCTTAAATCTAAAGATAAAGCACCAGAGTACCTCAAACCCTTTTTATTTCCTTTACTCTCCCTTCTCCATTCCTTACCGTGTTTAGTCTCCCCACCCAAATACTTTCCATCCTCTTAGACTCCTACTACAATCCAATCCCTCGGTTCCTCCCAACTTTGGCTCACATCACCAGCCAGCATCAGAAAAGGTCAACTTACATATTTAAACATTTCTGTTTCTAAACATGTTCTTCGCATGCTTTCACAACTCCCATGAAAACTAGACTCCTAAAAATATGAGGAGATACTTATCAGCTAGGCTAATGGAACAAAACTAAATTGGAATTTCTATGCCAAGGCATTTTGGACACGCAAAAGTCTAAAAAGGATTAAAATACATTTTTAAAGATGTGAATTACAGCTACATCTTAAAACACTAATATTTTACTGCTACTAAAAACTTTGCTCATCAAACTATCCAGGAGAATTCTACCCTGGGAAGAGATCTGACATAAAATTCAATATTGATTGATTTATTCATGGGAAGTTTATCAGAGGACTGTCTAAACCAGGCTTACCACCATCTGGGTCAACCACAAATTGGAGGACAAGAGGTTTATTTACCTACCCTAGGAAAGACAAGGCACTGGCCCTCAGCCTCTGAGTTAGCAACAACCAGACTAAGAAAATCTTCTTTTCTCATGGCCATTTTACCTTAGTTTTTTGTCCTTCCGAATGCTTGATTCAGTAACAGGAAAACTTGGCGTACAGACTAGGTATAGACAGAGAAAGCAGTACCATTGACAAGTCTGGCCCTAGGGGAATGCACTGCAAATTCAGGAAAACACTTTCAACAGAACTTTCCTCAGTCTTTAATATGCCTCCCCGCAATCACGATAATAATGAGCAGGCTTTTCTGGAAATGCACGGGGGGCCATTACTTCTAACTGTTACAGCAAAACATCTCTGCAGAGAGTTTCCTAATGTTTTCCGATGACCATTCTCAGAAACAGTGATGGCTCCTGTACATTTGCCACTACATATTTCACCCTCCTAAACAGGAGGCAAATATGTTTCCAGTTAAGCTTAAGTAGTTGTTACTTGAGTATGTAAAAGTTTCCGTAACAAGACATTTTTAATGTTTTTTCTCAACTTATCTTCCTACTCTTCCAGAGGGATAATACTGTGGCTGATCTCTACTTAATATTAAATTGCACATAGTTAGACCATAAAAATAACAACAATATTTTCTATATAGGAAAAAGAATATTGACAGTTTCCAAGCACTAGAAGGTTCACCAAGACCCCTGGAAAAGCAATCTCTCTTTACCCTATATATAATCTTGTTTAAATCTGATTTAGAACAGTAATAACCAAAAGATGGTTTGTTGGCCTATGGTAAATGATTTAATTGAATTGAGTCCATATTTTGGTCCACTACTATTGTAACTGGCTTTCGTCTCAGGAGTCATGTTAGAAACGTCAGATAGTGCAGAAGCACAGAGCTGGAGAACAGCTTCTCCTGTTCCTAGACCTGGTTTGATGTACACTGGAAAATGAAGGAAGAAGCATGTATTGGCTATCCAAGCTGTACCTATGCTGAAAGTTTACAGAGAAGCCCAGGCTCTGGGGCTGTTAATCTGGCAATTTTATTACATAAAGCTATAGGTAGAGCACAAGTTCTGATGTGACAACTTACTATGGCTAACACAAGAAGTTTTGAGTGCAGAAAACAGGCAAAGGAACAGCGGAAGTCTGGGTAAAGATAATCAAGTCTAGTGATTCTGAGTTGTAAATGACTTGAACAAAAAATACAAGAAAAATGCCTGGCAGCAGTAAAAATTTTTGGCATATACATATGAATAACTATATCACAAGAAGAGAGAGAGAGAGAAAAGAGAGAGAGAGAAAGAGAGAGAAAAATTAAAACAGCCATTTACCTCATAGGTTCTGGCTTCTTGCTTTGACAGTTTATTAGCAATAAGTAGTCCTGAGGATCTTCTTGACTACATGAGGACTCCAAAGAGGGGATATTAATTAGCTGGTATGGAGGAGGTAGGGATGATTCGGCTTGCATAGAAGGTAGTGAAGTATTAACTGCTAAGGGCAAGTCAGCAGATGCTTGTAAAGAACTACCAGGTGGCTTCACAGCATCTGCGAACAGAAACACAACAATGTTAAGTCTTTCTTTTTATATTTTATTGAGCTCTTTACAAATAAATGCTGCTACAGACAGGTGAACATTCATTTGAATAAGACAGTAAGCAGATTTAAGATGATCCTGTCATACCAATCATTTCTGACACAAACAAAGACAAAATAAGCCAAGCTTGTAGGACATTAGAAATGTTCTTCTAAACATACATATATGTATTTTTTCAGATGCACGTAGGAAACCAGTAAGAGAGTATCCTTCATTCTAGGACACACAAAAAGGTTTTCAGTTCATTAACTCTTAGATGTTATTAATCCCATGGCTGCTCATGGACCTTAGAAGTCAACCCTTGCTGTTATTTAGTCCAATGGTGCTCAACCTTTTTGGCCAGTGGGCCAGATGGGCAGTGTCCGATTCTTCCATGGGTCAAATCTGACAGGACCCCATCCAGCCACACAGAGCGGGGAGGGGAGCCCAACCCTGATCCAGCCACATGGTGGAAGGGATCTTGAGCTGGCCCCAACCTGGCCCCGCTGGGTGGAGGGGGTATGGTGTGGCCTGGCCCCGATCCAGCCGTGCAGGGGGAAGAGGCATGGCCTAGCTCCGCTGGAGGAAGGGGCCATGGCCCAGCCCTATTTGGAGAGAGGGGAGTAGCCTGACTCCAATCTGGCCATGAGGGAGGAGGGTCCTGGCGCAGCTCCACCCTAGCCTATGGGACTTGGAATTTGAGCAGTGGAGAGAGGTGACAGTATTGCCCCTGCTCCCCCACAGCCATATTTTCCAAACCATGGGGAGCCCTCCAGACCAGATTCCAAGTCTTTGCTGAAGCATCTGGCCTGCAGACTGGAGGTGGAGCATCCCTGGTTTAGTCATTTTCTAGTCACAAAATGAGGATGCTGGCTGATGCAGTAGAACCAAGCATACAAATCTGCTGTTTTAAATCAAGATCAGCCAAGGTTTAATGGGTTAAAATTCTGCTGTGGTCACCTAAGTCAGCATTTTTGTGTGTGCATATTTATTGTTTTTCTTAATTCCCACCACTTTGCTATTTGATATTAAAAATAGGGCACAATTATCCACTCACTAAATCTGAAAAGCAACAGAGAAAAGGGGCAAGCAAACAAGAAGACTTTGTTCACGTAATGGAGGATTCACTGCTGAATGCAAGACCTTGCAAGGAGATGTGGTGTATGCCAGGTTCCCAAAGAGTCCTCCTTTTGTATCCCAACCCTGATGATCTATCCCAGGGAAGGACTATAAAACTAAGGACAGATTGGTCCCTTGTTGTTTTATCCCTCCCTGTTATAATTTTTTTTTTACCTTCCATTTGTGAATATTTTTCTCTTGACAAGTTTAACCCTTTGGGCTAGTTTTCCCTCTCTCTCTCTCTATAGGTTAGAGTATGGAGGAATATACACTTGTAGCAGCTTCAAAGGGGGAGTTGTTGTTATGGTGAAACTGTCTGCAAGATTTTGTAGAGGGGCAAGTGTAGCACAACTACTTCAACTTTAACCTTCTAAGGTCAATGCTGGGGTGATTCACTCACTTATACTGGTACAAGATCATGCATGTGCAAAAGTTACAACATAATGGCTGCTGCAAATTCATGAGAAGCAGCTCCCACCCCGCTTCTGAAGCCACTACAAGTATGTGTTTGTCCCTACCCCTTTATCTGACAGTCTGGACAATGCTAAGGCCAGAAGATAACAATAAACCTCTACTCTGGTTTTTTAAACTAAGATATTTCATTTTATTACATTATTAGGTCATCTATAATTCATGCCTGGTTGAATGTCAAGACTTTTGACATTGCAATTTGTCAGTTGCTGCATTTGTGCATCTTTCCAAGACAATCTGAACAGGAGACTGGTTCTAATTCAGTACTTACAACACAACTTAGGAGAAAGTATGCAGCTGCCTAGCAGCCTAACTCACTAAACAGTGTAGCACAAGAGAGTCCCAAAAACAGTAATGCTGCATGCAGCACTCATTCTGTACAGGGTTTGGCTTCTACCATATTAAACAAAACAAACTGGATATGACATGATCACTACTTTCACCTGTTTTCTTCTTGAGAGACTCCAAATAGATTTTAGTTTTCCACAACATGTTATGCAACCAGCACCTTAATTCCCTTGATGTTTGTTTTAAGGTGATAACTGCAAAAGCATCCCCACATTCATCTCTGTTGGGGAGAAGGTCTGAGTAGGCTGGTAGGATAGACAGTCCTGTGGCTCCTGATAAAAGGTGGATTGGATCAGCCTTTTATCAGCCTTTCCTCTCCTCTCCCCACAGCACCCCATAATAGACATGGAGATTCTGCCTAGGCAAAGAATGAAGCAAGGGAGCAGATAGTATTTTACATACACATACACACACACACACACACACACACGCGCAACTACTCCTCAGCCATCCTGACATGGAGGAAGAGAGACAACTGATGCCTTTTGTGTTCCCCTATCTTATCCCTAGCTATATACAAAGCCCTCATGAGCATGAGCTACAAGGTCACAGGGTCTTTTTGGTACTAAGTCAGTGACAGGGTTTCCATTTTGGGGTCCTATACAAAGGTTCAGTTTCAAACTCCTACTCCATAACTAAATCATAACAATACCAACCTGTGTCCACCTCACGGCCCTGAGCTTTTTGCATTGTTCACTGGCCCACAGTTTACACTGATCTAACACCCTCTTGCATGAAGTGCAGAGATCACACACAAGAAAATCAAATACGATGACCCTGAACTTTGCAGGGAAGACTGGTGTGTCACTTAGATACAGAAGAACTTAGTGGATTGAAAGGGGATGGCTAATGGACAATGTGTATTGTGGTGCAGGCATGCTTTACCCTAAACTCTGTGACCTGAGGTTCACAAACTCAAAAAATGAGCTCCCAGCAGTAAACACAAGACATCCAAAACATGGATGAGGTGTCCTCTTGGCTGAAGGAAGAAGGGGCATATTTAAGTCTCTGCAGACCATTGAACCCTTTGCAGGGGTGGACAAAAGAATTCACAGGTGGGCTGAGTCCTTATTAGGCTGAAGGTTGATTATGGTAAAGAGGGACAAGGTTGAAAACTATTTACTTGAAAGAAGCTAGTTAACAAATGCACCAAACACAAATACATGCCTGGTAACTAGGGTGGGTGAAACATCAACCCATTAATATCAATAACATCGCAGCTTTCTGCTTTGAAACCAGTTTTTATGTAAGCACTGCATTCTTTTAGTCACCCCAAATAGTTATATATAATCAATACATATAAAATATTGCATTCATATTTTAAATATTCAAATATTCTCTTTAGCCACTAAAATATATTTAGGAAGCTGACACTGGGTTAAAAGTTTAGTCTTGCTGCTTGTTATGCTTTAAAATGAGCTTCAGTGATGATCTTGATTCATTTTGAATTCTCACATTTTGGAGAAACAGATCATCTGAACACTAAAAAAAAAAAAAAAAAAAAAATACAAATCTTTATGTTTGGTTTCAGAGCTAAGACACCTGGTTGACTGTGAGCTGGAAAAGCATTCCAAATATTTAACATGCAAATGAACATAACAAGAATCCCATTTTGTTTTTAGAATTCCTGTATTCAGGACAGCTAGAACAAGTAGATTTTTTATAAACTGGACTAGTGTTTTATTATTTTAATTTTTTTTTCCTGACTGATTTGGTAACAGCGGACAGATGTATCACAACATTCAGAGTGTGTCAGCCTGCTAAATAGAAGGCCAAGTATGTAAGCAAAATTATCCACAAAATAGTTACAAAAATTAACCAGTGGTAAAAAGGACCTTTTACAAGCAAAACTAACAAATAACAGAGGCTGCCATTCATCCACTTAGTTATTTATATCTTATTTACAATGTTGTTGTGTCTGCACTCTGAGAATGCAAACTCTGAAAAGGATTGAATGTGGGTTTGGGATTGAAACTAAACTATTTTCTACACTGCAGCTGAGGACAGTGGAATCTTCCCTCAACTTTTTTTTTCTTTTGAGTATGTAAATACTGATGTATAAATTGTTTACACGATGTGAACGGACTATAAAAGCTACAAGAGCCTTTAATGAAATGTCAGCCTCATGCTGACTTAGAGGATGAGAAAGCACTCTTCAGAGAATGTAGGTAGAAGTATTGGAAAGCAAAAATGGGATTTTCCCATTGTATGAATGAATCAGAAACAGCCACGCAATTGCCTGGCTCTGAGATCCCCACTGGTGATGATGAGTCATTCGAGCCATTTGCTACTGTGTGGCTATCCCAATTAAAACAACTTAAAGGCCCAGTAATTACTACAGTAAACAAAACGACAGGCCCATGGTGATGGGGTCATATGAGAACTTAGGTTTCCCATTGTAAATGGTTGTACAGATATTCTGTAGGGAGTCTGTAGGGTTTTGTGTTCCACACACATATATGGTATGCTAGAGGACAAATGAACGATCAAGTAACTTCAAAGCATATGAAGGGATTACATACATCACTTAAGTCTTTAAAAGGATAAATATTTTATAATGAAGGACACTGCTTCTGCAATATTTAGGCTAACCATGACTATTTTAATATAACGTAAGACTCCCAAAATATGCAGTGCTTTAGTTTCCCCTTTCCTACTCCCAATGCCAATTTCTATCTGTTTTGAAATAATGAGCCTTATTTTAAATAAACAGCTCATAGTAAAAAACCTACACAAATAGTCAAACCTTCCTCTTCCCATCACTCTCTAGTTCCCTTCCTTGATGGAAGAAACACGCTTTAGTTGATTTCATCTTTAAAACCTCTCCCCGACCCTGTCTACTAGTTTACAGCATATGAAATAGTTTTAAAAGCACTTTTTGGAATCCGGCCCATCAAACCCAGTTCCATCCCAGATCCTCTCCAAATCATCATCCACTCCAGGACCTTCCTGATCCAACTCTGTTTGGTAAGAGAGACTTTGATATCTCTAGCAGTTTATTCTTAATCCAGAAACACTGAATGCTCTCTTCAAGCCCATCAGCCACACTCTTCTTGATATTCTGTCATGCTTGGACTTCCATGATTCAGTCCTTTTCTGGTTCTCCAATTACTCCACCAGTGTCATTCTCCTCATTAACTTTTCCTGTTTTCTGGGGGGTTTCACAGGGCTTAGACCTTGTGTCAACTCCTGTTCTGCTCTTATAATTTATTTCTGTGTAAATCTCATCCATAAACCTATCCAATACCACTTCCATGTTGATAACTCACAGAAGTGTGTGTAGTGTAGTGTGTGTGTATATAGTGTAGTGTAAACCTGCCTCCTCCTGTCTAAAGTAAAATCTTTGTCCATCTCTGACAATGCCTGATGAATGTCCAGCTGTTAGCCTATGTCCAAAATGGACAAAGCACTCTTAACCTATTCCCATCCCACATTAACACTCCTCCTTTCTCAACATTGGTGACCACCACCATCCTCCTGGTCAATCATATGAGACCTTGCAGACCTCATATGAGATCTTGCAGATGTCTTCAAATCCAGGCTATATCAAAATCTTGCTAAATTTCTTCTCCATGTCATCTGTAAGATACGTCTTTTCCTAGGTCTCCACATATCTAAAAACTCTCTCATTCAGGCTTTCATTACCTTGAGTCGCAATAAATGCAATATCCTAATCTGGAAAAAAATTCATTCATGCCCGCAAATCTCCACTCATATCAGTACATAATGACAAAGGTTAATTTTCTAGGTTATCTATCGTTTTGACCACATCACTCTTTTTTCCATTCTTCTACCAGCTTCTTCTTCTCCATCTCAAAACGGAAGCTACATAGCTTTTCTTTCAAGATCCTTCATGTCCTAACCCATACTACCAAGATATCTGTTCCCAGATCCAATAGGCAAATAAGCTAGTTTCCATTGCCCTCTAGTTAAATTTCTAAAAAAGTACCTTTGTTTTTCCTCCCACGCTACCCCTCCCCAAGCAGTCTCAACGCTTACCATATTGGTCATCCTTTCTTATATCTTTGTTTTTCCAATGCTTACAAAAAACTCGACAATGATTAAATAGCTGATGTGCTGAGACCATTGCCTATCATCCTGACCAATGCTGTTTCATTTTCTTATGCTTTCCAGAGTGTCTCATGTTATTGTAGGCATTAAGGTCTTAGAGGCAGGGGCTGTCTTTTGTTCTCCACTTACATAGTGGCTAAAACAATGGAATCCTGGTCTGTAACTAGGACACAAAAAGGCACTACCAACAAAAAGTAATAATAAAGTCTTGTTTAATCCAGTTGACACCACAGAAGCAGGTATAACTAGAGAAAGTTTCAGGAGGAGCAGCATTCCTCTACTGCCAGTAACTGATTCTTCCCCAGAGCTATAAGCAGGATATTTCATCACAAAAATCGTGCAAAAATGGTAGGTAAGAGAAGAAAAATGAAATTGCTAAATTAGAGTTTGTACCAAATATTAGGCTTTGAAAAGTCTGCTTGTGTGTGTAACAAGTTGTAATTTTAATCAACTTGTAAACACCTTGCTTGTGTGTGAAACAAGTTGCAATTCCTTTGAAGAAATGTGATCAACATTTTTAGAATTTATAGTTTAAATGGGACAAGGAAAATACAACCATGGACTACTGGGCATAATAAAGGATGGGAAATGTTACTATTTTCTGCTGCCTTTCCCTTGTCTTCTTCCCTACTTCCTATACTTTTCCTGGTCCTTTTTTCCCCTAACACCTTTACTCAGCAGGTGAACATATTAATCCTTTATATCATGGTTATTAGCAAACCTATTATCACTAATCATGGAAATCACAGAAATGTAAGACACGAGGTACTCCGCTCAATGCCGAGGCAAGATATGAAACAATATTGACAGATGTTTTTTCAAATCTGCAATGTTCCTGCACTTAACTACCCTTATATTAGAAACTTTTTCCTAATACCTAACCTAACTCTCCCTCACTGCAAATTAAGCCAATTACTTTTGGTCCAACTCACGGTGAGCATGGGTTGGACCAACAAAAAATATTATTTTTTTATTACAATTACTATTATTTATTACAATAACTTACAATAAATTACAGTGTTATTGTAATTTATTGTAAGTTATTATAATTTTCCAAATAGAACTGTGATAATGTGCATAAATTATTGATTTTTGGTTGGAAGATGTGTTCTGGAACACCACACTGCAAAATTTGTGTGGAAGTTAATTAAAAGAAAATACCTGCCAGCATCATACAATTTCTAAGAGCATCACCAATTAGCATAGAAAAAACAGCATAGTGCTAGCCTGAGCTGATGTTTCCTCCACTCTCCAAATTAATCTTTACATACACACATTTCCACTACAAAGCAATCTAATGGCAGCACTAAGCAACCCCACTCCCTTTCAAATCAATAGAAGCACTTATCATTAACTTGAAGAAGAGCAGGAGTAAAATCCTGGCACTGCTCCTCTAGTCTTACTCTAGTAGAGTCTGGTAATAGAGTCATTTGGTCATAGCTGAGGTACAGAGCTGCCAAACTTTGAAGGGAACAAACTATAACAAGGAGGAAGATTGCAACTCTCACAACCCTTACATCTCATCCTATAAAGGAACAAAGCATGGATACTTTTGTTTTCAAAAGCAGATTTAAGCTATCTTCAGTTTGACTCCCCAAAATAATTCATAAATTAGCAAAGAAATAAAGGTATAAAGTGTAAAAACTTGAAGTTGTTCTTTAATGTGCGAGCCTTGGTGTACTAACGTATGAGGAAGCCCAGTGGTTGATTTGCCAGTATTCTACAATTATGTAGGATCTAGGCAGGATTAAGATCAGAAAACATACAAACAATATCTCAATTCACAACTAGAAAAGTCATGAATGAAATCTGAGTATAGATAGCTGATCCAGGGCTTGCTATAATCTAATCTATGTCTCAGACAAATAATCTTCCCCAACTGTGCTCTTTACTGAAACGGTTAACCAGAGGAAAGGAAGTCAAATCAAAACATTTCACCAGAATGTCCCAGAATAAGAACTAAGAAGGAAAAGCATCCTTGTTTCAGGTGGCAAGTTCTTAAAGTTAATCACTCCTAGTGAACATGATGGAATAGGCTGTGCGAGTCCACATCCCAATAAAACGAACAGAAGTTTGGTTCTCAATAGCCCACTAACCAGACATACTTTATCAGACATATATAATTTAATTTTCTCTTAGGGCTATAAACAGGGCTGTAGTAAATACTGCTGCCTACACAGACCCAACAGGATTCTGGGTTATGAGATTCAGTATAAGGAAAAATTATTAAAAAAGGGTGTGTCCAGATGAGTGCAAATGTGCAGGGGCATGCGTTTCCCATGGCACAAATAGCAGCAGTCCATATTGACCTGGGTGGGTACAGGAGTCTGAGGCCAGCACCTGTGCTAGCCTCAACAGCCTTACCTGGGGTTCTGGGGGCCTCCTGAGACAGCAGAGGCACAGATCCAGCCACACAGATCCTGGCCGGCAGCCAGAGTATGGCCCTTCGTGGCCAGGCTCCGTTTCTGTCAGTGCATGCTGCTGCTGCACGCACCGCACCACTTTTAGTGGTGATTTTTTTTGACGCTGGGATCTCCCAGTGTCAAATTCTGGCACTGCGGTGCAAATTAGCAGTGCGGCGAATGGGTGCACGTGTGCAGTTTGCGGTGCCTCAAACAGCTCACCTGGATGCACCCAAAAGTCTTTACTTGAATTTGCCCCAGTGCCCCAGTGACTCCACTACTATCCAAGCTGTTCTGTGAAAAGGTCTACTGGCAGAATTTGGGTTTGAGGCGCAGGGCAGAAGTAAAGGAAAGGATGGAGTTAAAGCTCTTGAATTTCACAGTAGTACTCCGGTTTCCACTGCTTGTGCAAACATGGATTTTACAAACTGTACAAAACTTCTTAGATAGGAATATATTTCAGTCATGAACATAAGTTTGTTTTCATATCTGAGAAATGGTAAAACAGACTAGGTCTGAAGTTCTAGAAAAAAAATCATTAAGCTAAACCATTAGAACAAAATCATTTCAGCATATTACTAATTTCCTTATTTGCCACAGATCATAAAAATTCAACTCCATAGATATCACTGCTATCCTATTTGCATGCATGTACAGCAAAAAAACCTATATAGCTGTACACAAGTTTTGTACTGAATTCTACTGACAGCAATTTGCTCTTTAAACATTCCCTTGTGTAGGGACAAAGGAGTTCTTAGAAACAGGCAAAAGGTTAAACTTACCTTCATCTGTAGGGTTGAACCCACAGATATCACAAATACATCGAACCCACTTATTCATCTCCTCCTCGCTGTCTGCAACCAAGTAGAAAACTCTGTCTATAGTGTTGATGTCAAAAATATAGCTATTTTCAAACTCTTTCTTGTTAAATGTCAATCCAGCATCTACTTGTTGACATAAGTTTAAGTCAATAATGCGGATAGGCTTTTTAGCATGGTCATTTTTGTAATATTCCAATACATCTGGATCTCCTGTTAGACGGCCGCTACGAAGCACAAACCATCTCCTCTTCCATGCCTGAAAATTCAGAAAAGTCAAAAAAGTAAAATTAAACATGTGATTGAAGGTACATTGAAAGTAATACCTGACCTCCATAATTCAAACTGTGTAATAACAAAGGTTGAATACAATACATATGTCAAATTGTTTTAAAAAGGCTGCATAACAAATACAAACTTAGGAGGGTGAAGTTACCAAATGATGGAAATGGATTTCTGTATTGGAAACTTTTTTTTTTTTTTTTTTTAATTCAAAAGAAGTTCTTTCCTATATTTAAGACTAGAGAACACATAATCAAAATCAGGCATATATATTTGCCAAAAATGAATTCA